ATTTCTGTGTTTTAATCCATTTTTATATTTTGTTTCTTTAGCCACTCACATTGAGAAATATTGTTCACTTAAATACATTGTATTAAATGTCATTAAAATGTTTTGTGCTGTGTAAGAAATGCTATGTATTTTACTTGAGAGAATTTGCAACCCGAAATTTAGGAGCTGTTGTTCCTCCTCCCTGAATTTAGATTTTAACGTCAAATCTGTTGATATATTGATAAACTGGTCCCTCACCCCATTAGTCAAAAAAAAAGGTTCATATTCCATAAGAAAACTATTTAGCTTTGTAAAACATCGTACTAATAAATCTAATATTATATTTTATCGAACATCGACATAGTAAACAATGGAATATATTCAGTCTAAATCAGGGGCAGTCAACCTTTTACCACAGGTCGAGTATCGCTGGTCTAAATAGTAGTACATATAAAGGAAAAAGGTTTTAACATTCTTTTATTATATTAAAGTTAGAAAAAATGGTGTATCAGTGGCACGAGAAAAAGTATTTAAAAATTTGAGAAAGTAATAATAATTAAAAAAATAGCCATTTTTTTAATAATTTTATTAAAATGTAATTGTCCCAGACAAAAAAAAAGGATGTGCTTCATTTCATATAATATCGCCAATGTTAATGAAGACCTTAGAAAACGATTTGACTATTTATTTTAAGTTAACCGTGTGTATGATTAATTTTACTGTTGAAAATCTTTAATTAATTAAGTAGCTCTAACGGATAAAATTTCCCAAAGTTAAGTCTTTCGTTTGTGTATATCCATTAATTTTCAATGTAGCGATTAAATAATAAATATCGCAACCAAAAAAACTGCAGTAAATCATAATGCGGTAAATAAAGGGTCAAAACCAAATTTTTGGAAAATAATTTTGGTGCAGTATGCAGGATTTGTGATCGTCTATGGCACCAAAATAATATGAAAAACTACCTCTATATGTGCAAAAGAACTTTTCTCAGCTGAATATCCAGATGTCAATTTTGAAACTGCTTCCATCTGCGAAACGTGTCATTTAACACTCCATGAAAATAAAATTCCGACATTATCAAAGTCTAATGGCTTTAAATATCCATCCAAGCTTGAATTGATTTCGAAGCGTCTCATTTTGCCATAATTGTTATTTATGACTATCAGGAGACTTCGACATGAAAATGGTCAGTATAGAATTCTGAGTCAGGTGATCAACACGTACCGGTATCCGTAGATAATACACTGGTGTGCAAAACTTAAGCAACAGGTGGGTTTAATGCCATAACTTCACGAAAAATCATCTGAGAGACATAAAATTCAGAAATGAGGGAGAGTATTATGTACGTAAAGGATGACGAAAGCATCGGCGATGAAAAAGGAATACAATGCATACAGTATGGAATCAAACAAAAACAAGCTTTATTGAACGCATAGTATCGTGACTCATGATGGTCTATCCAACAGGAAGAACAACAAGCAGATGTTCTTTAATATGGTATATGCCTTCCCCTCACTGCAATGGTTGCTTCGCACCGTCTCCGCATACTCAGAACCAGCTGGTGCAACATATCTTGTGGTAGGAGTACCCATTCTTCAATCAGCCTCTGTTTGTATTATTGGGTGTTCTCCGGATGATGTAAGCGTGCTGCAATACGTCTCCTCAAAGCATCCCACACATGTTCGATGGGATTTAATTCTGGGGAGTACGCTGACCAATCCATTCGAGTGATATCTTCACTTTCCAGCATCGCCTCAACAGCAAGAGTCCGATGTGGCCGTGCATTGTCATCCATAAAAATGAAGTCTAGGCCAGTGATATCTCGGAACAGACGCAAATGGGGAAGAAGTATCTCCTCACAATAGCGATCCCCGATTACACACCCTCTATCGAAAATGTGGAGCTCAATTCGCCCGTTCAGCATAATGCCTCCCCAGACAAGAACTCCAGGACCACCGTAATGGTGTCTTTCCTTGATGTTACTGGTATAAAACCGTGTCCCGATCTCCAAATCAAAACGCGTTGAGAATCGCTTCTGGTACTGAACCGACTCTCATCCGTAAAGAGGGCACGAACTCCATTGACAGTTGTTCAGTTTTTGTGCTCTCTACATCACTGTAAACGGTGGCGTCAGTGGTCAACTTTCAACGGGAGGTAGCGTTCAGGACGGCGGGCGAATAGGCCCCCTTTGTGAAGGCGTCTGGCCACAGTAAACCGCGACACTTATCGCCCCGTTGCTGTAGAGAGTTGCTGAGCAATGACGCTTACTGACTGCCGTCGGCCCCTTTTCGTCTGCAGGATGATATATCGGTCATCCCCTGCAGTTGTCGTCCTCGGGCGTCCACCACCAACCTTTCTAAAAGCTGTACCTGTGGTTTGGAACGCTTTCCAAGCGCGCGAAACGACACTTTTGTTGATTCCGATCTCTGCAGCTACACTGGTGACGGTACGCCCCTCCTCCAGCTTTCCGATAATTCTTCCTCGTGTGAAGTCGTCCAGGAGATTTCTTCTAGCCATATTTCACGAACCGACTCACTGGCACTTGCAGCGAATATGTTGAATTGCGTCTGCGTCCTTCATTTTATTTTACTGTTGAACATCACGCGTTTTGCGTACGTTCACGTCGCTTCTGACGTTTCGTTCCTGGTATTCGCATACGCATGACGTTTCTCTTGACTTACGTGTTCACTGTACTGATCTCCAGACGTCCTTTTCTGCAATTTCATGGTTATCTCTGCTTAATTTTTACATTGTTGCTTAAGTTTTGCACACCAGTGTACTTGGAAATCACAAGTATATGTATTATATTTTAGTTATCATACGTTTATTGTCTCCGCTCTTCCCCAAAATGAATTAGAAAAATTATTTTTGATAAAAAATTGCATTACTCCTTGTGTTAAATAAAATTTTCATTAAAGATATAATTATTAAAAATAAAAATTATTTCCAATCGTACCCGCTTCAGTTTTTTCAGGATTTAAATTACTATTGCGTATTTACCATGACAGCATGTCATATGTTACACATATGGAACTACTGTAAGTCTCGCTCGTTTTTTTTATATTACTTGTTATTAATAAAGTTAACAAGCTTGATAGTGAACAGCAGTAATAGCAAAACTTATTATTTTATCTGCTTAACATATTATTAACAATTGTAGAGCATTATTGTGTAAATATGTAATTTTCTATAAACGGTTCAATTAGTTGAAAATGTTACATTAGAATCCTTAGCTTTCATAACTTTCACTTTATTAGTTCATAATTACACAAATAGATCCCTTAATTTACTACATTGACCTTATAAATGTATGTAAAATATGTTCATGCTTTTACTTTTAACTTATACAAGGGTTGGGGAATAAATCATAACAACTATTTTTTTTTCTTGTATATATGTGAATGGACCACAAACATATATGTGTCATGTGGAAGTTCTGCAGGCATAGTGTGTATGCAGAACAACAGATGGCTCTGTGATAGCTGGTAGTAGCGCAGCGAGAGCTGTGAAATCAGTCAGTTGGTGAGTGTCGTGTGATGGAAGTAACCCGTGTTGAGCAGCGTTCTTACATCAAAATAGCCGTTCTCCGAGGGAAAAATGCGATGGAATATCACAGTGATTAGTGTAAGCCCTAGGAAACAATGCCTTACCATACCGTACAGTAGCACGGTGTGTGTACTGTGTTGTCATTCTCTTTTGCATTGTGAAGACCGTATTGCCCTGTATACTACTGTAATAAATTAGTGTGTTACAATATTTCCGTGCTATTCATTGTCCACACATGTAGTTAACACCTTGTACTTTTGTCTGTATATGTCACATTTTCCAACCGGACCGGTATCTTCAAGAAAAAAAAAAAACAGTTGCCATGACTTTTGCCCCAACCCTCGTATAAACACTTTGAAATTTATATTTTCAATTACTTATTTTACCACCATATCGTATTATCTTTGTAGATAATAAGAAAAACGTTGAGAAAGTTTTTGTAGATGATAATTTAAAAAATTATTTTGGTGCATTATTATTAATGAGTTATGTGTAAATATTTAAATTATTATTTCTTACAATTATTAAATTTACGTGGCATGAATTGTATTCTCATTCTGTTTTTCGGGTAGAATGTAAAATGCAATTCGAACATATTTAATTAAAAAGTTTGATAAAAGAAATGAACAAAATTTCTTAGAAAATCATACACTTTAAAGCAGTTTTTCTCAAATTTTCAATAATTGTGACCCAATATTCAATCATAATTTTTATCGCGACCTCCTCCTTATAATAACAGTGTATTGAATTCAATTATACTATATTTTTACGCTAAAGCTACAATACGACTTAAACCTCTTAAGTGTCACCGGTGTATATCAACGTATCGGTTAGCCAAAATTCCCCCTGTTGTATATATACATCTTTATGAAGTACGATCTTTTCTGTCCACTGCTATCCATAAAATTATTCCGAAGGCTTCAGAATGCAATAAAATGACCTCGACAGTGTTTGCGAAGGATTTACTTCTGTCAAAGAATTGGTTTACTTATCCCTCCTAAAAAAAACATCTCATTCGCACACCTATGTGGAAAAGGGTGGCCGAGTAGCGTAATTTTTAATGGGCAGTTAAGGGACTAATTATAAAACGTGCAAATTATCCAGATAAGTGTTAATTTTTGTGTATAATTTTATATATGACAAGACCATGGACTCACTTGTGTGTGTGTGTAATTACTTAACTCATTCTTAACGTAGTATTGTTAAATTAATTATTAAATACACTGTATGTGGGTGATGCATTTGTAAGTGTAAATAAATATTTGTGTGTATGTTTGAAGTTATACTTCTTTTGGGGCGTTAGAGAAATAGGATGAGGGTGAATTTTTACGATGCGCACGCACACCGCCACGGATTTCACGCAAAACCGTCACGGATACGAAAATGATTTGTCTAGAAATATACAGAGCGGGACAGATCATTCCCACCTTCGAAATTCTCAAGAAAAATATTTCTCTTCACTTCCCTGAAGAAGAGGACACCCGGGTTTGAATCGGGGACCTCTCGATTAGCCGTCGAATGCTCAACCACTGAGCTATACACCCCGTATCTGCGAACCTTTGCTTTGGGCTGATTTATGACGTCACTACTAGTAAGGAGAGATCGTCCTTCGCCTACGGAGCTTCTCTGATGCATTGGTTTGAAAATTATTTTTATTAAACGAAACATACTTACAGGAAATTAAAAAATAAAATTAGTAAATTAATCTCTTAATTGTGTTTCATGTACATAAAAAATAAGAGTAAATATTAGTTTACCTATTTAAATAACAATTGCAATTATATGATTATAGATGTATTTACTACGAACGCATTGCGATGAACTTAAAACTCATTTATCACATTGTAGCAAATTATAAGAGCATTTTGTATTCGTTTATTTATTTTTGAAGTTACCCTTTTTGGGGGTTAGGGAAAAAGGATGAGGGTAAATTTTTACGATGCGCCCGCACACCATTGTCTAATAATTTAACATGCCACTTTTTTGGTTCTATGGGACTGATATTTGGGGTATCATATAATAACTATTGTTATAAGACATATCTGTTGGGATGCACCCCCTGTGCACTACCACCTCTACAGCGTTCTGGCCAATATCTCGGCACCCAAGACTCCCTTCAGTCCCTTCAGACCTGGCTCATTCGATCCCTCTCTATCTGCTCTTCCAGTTATTATAATTTCATGTGTGTGTGTGTTCATATGGCTTTTTCTTCTATAGTTTATAAGCGTCTTAAACTTTTTAAATTTGCTTAAATTGACAATACCTTGGCTCCTGTTCGAGTCTCGGACTTGAGATTTGAACCAAGTGTTCCATTCGCCGAGATCCATCCAGTCGTCTGCTTCATTCTCATTGTGTAGGCATGGGGAGGGCTTAAGAACAAAAAACTCATATTCCCATGTTAATCCTATGGGGACTGGAAAACACTTCACCACCCCCTATGGAATTGAGCTTGGAAATTGATTTTTGGAGTTCTGTCATATTTTCGTATTAGCGCGAGCTTTAAGTGGAATTGGCCCCCTCCCCCTACAGGGCTTCCCCAGAAATAACTCGAATCCTATGCCACCTTGGTCGACCGCACCGGGTGGATCCGATTGTTCTTCCTATGAGCATCCTAGGTATGTTTTTTCAGGATCGTAGCCCCATTTCTTTACCTATATTCAACATTTTAAAATTATTTGAAAGTTATAATTTTTTAAAAAATTCTTATAGCTCCGAGGATTTTTGAGATTCGTTAATGAAACTCGGACCATGGGTTCTTTTCGTTGAGCTGTTCCATCTGTTATAATTCATGTGTAGATAGAGGGCTTGGGGGGAACGTTATCACTAAAATTAGAATCCCCATGCTATTCCTATGGGGTTCGATCTTTTGATGATGTAACGATATTACAGAGATAGAAGGATGAAATTCTGGGATCACCTACTACTCAGTGTATCTTTCAGATGTGCGTGACCATTTACGTCACAGCTGTTCCCCTCCGGGGAGAGTCAGTTTCGTTCTCCTTACCCGAGCTAGCGCCACGCCATTTGCAACTGCAGTCTCCAGACCGGTTCTAATTGATTCCTCTTATGTTTGCTCTCAACCAGGCCCAGTTTCGAGTTGCTGGGTGCGCTGCTTCTATTTTATTTAATTGTTTTAATTTTTTTTAAAATGACCTTAATTCGGAGGCTCTTCAGACGGATGTCTTAATTTTCTCAGGAACGATTTTTCCCGCCGAGACATTCAGTGTGAGGTCTCAGATGTCACATTCGGTTCACTTCATCTCCAGATTCAGTCTGATACCCCCTATGCTACTGGTCCTATTGTCCTGTGCGGGGTGTTCAAATTTATTTAAATCGTGATTATCTCAGCTGGTCCGATTGACTGAAGGTTAGTATCGCTCAACTCTTCTCATAACCGCTTTTCGTCCTTGACCCAGCTTGCCCTGCTAAAGATTTTTAGAAAGATTTTAATCTTGTTACGCCAAAGAAGTATTAACATCTTACTTGCGTACGTAAGCACACACACTCTTTTTTGTGTCAGAATGTATTTTTTTTGTTTACTTTCAGTAAATTAATAATTTTATTTAAAATAATCTTTTCTTTTCGACTTTTCAATATACTCGTGCACCCCTCGTAGAGTTATCACGGCCCACAGGGGGGCATGCCCCACGGTTTGAGAAACGCTGTGTTAGAATGATTTCTTATAGAAAGCGTATTTTTCACAGAGAACTGCACACCACAGGAAAGCTGTTATACGGGGGTGACTGGGAGGGCGACAAAGAACTTCTGACACTTATGGTCCATTCTTTTCTCAGAAGGAGAAACAGCTTTAAAAATTTTGCTGGCCGTGAATGCTCGTTCGGTCTTTTAGAAGTTAAAGAAATAAAAAAAGAACAGAGATAAATAAAATATGTCATTCTCTTTCATTCAACCACCTATGTACTAACTTCAGACTGAGGGCCAAGCTGACTTGTAGCTTTTTAAGGGCGACTTTTATCTACAGTCAATCAATCAACAGACCAAGGAATATCGTCTTTTATAAGCAAATAACATTTCGAACAAATTTCTTCCATTCTAAATGTGATCTGTCTTTTTACTTCATACGATCTTTTTGAAGAGCTACTCTGAATAGGATTTTGTAGAAACCTTTCCGAGTTTATACCACTCCTTGCCTTTCTGTTGTTTTGAGTAAAACTAGAGCTTACTAGAAGTTAATAATGAGCAAAAAGCCAAAATGAATACCAAGAAGGAACTCAGGGACTATTGGTTACCGAATAGCTATGAAGTGATGTCTGTGGAGAATAAAAGTAAACTCTATGTTAAAGATGGCAAGTGCGAGGCGCATCCAGAAAGTAAGTTTCCCTATTTAAAAAAAAGAACTCACACTTTTAGGAACATATTTATTGGCAACAAGTACATCAGTGCTTCAGCTATTTTTCAACATAGCCACCACCAGAATTGAGACACTTGTCGAATCGTGGGATCAACTTTTGTATTTCGCTGTTGTATAACTTTGACGCTTATGAATGGAACCAGTGTGTGACAGACGACTTCAACTCTTTGTCGTTGCCCAAACGCTCACCGGAGAACAGGAACTTCTTGAGGTACAAGAAAACGGGGAAAATTTTGGAAGAGAGATCAGGGCTGTAGGGTGGGTGATCAAACAACTCTCAGCCAAATTCCGTCAAAGCAGCTAATGTACGTCGAGCCGAATGTGGACGAACATTGTCATGGAAGAGCACAATGCCTGCCGTAAGCATTCCATTCCTCTTGTTTTGAACGGCACGTCGCAATCTACACAGAATTCCACAGTAACGGTGAGCGTTTACTGTTTCACCACGTGGAAGGAAGTCAGTGAGCAGAATGCCCTTCCCGTCCCAGAACACCGTGCACATCACTTTCCGTACTGACAGCGTATGTTTGAATTTCGTCCTGACCGGAGATCCCCTATGCCGCCCATGCATTGACTGCTGCTTGGTTTTCGGGGTGAAGTGCAAAATCCAAGTCTCACCGCCCGTGACGATCCTGTCGAGGAACTCGTCACCATCCTCGTGGTACCGTTGCAGAAATATCAGTGCTGCTCATATGCGTTAAATTTTGTGTTCGCACTCACCTGGCAGACAATTTTTTTTAACAGAAGGGGGGCTTAGTGACAATCTCGTACAACAGGGATCGCGATATCTGTGGAAAATGGTTACTGAGCTCCGCAATCGTGAAGCGACGGTTTTCCATCATGCGCTGCCGCAGAAGCTCAACAAGATCATCATTAATGAGGGACGGCCGCCCACTGCGCTCTTCCTCATGGACACTTTGACGACTTTCGGAAAACTGTCTACACCAAGGACGCACCATCTGCTTACTCATGGTGTTCGGCCCGTAGACCTGACAGAGCTGACGATGAATTTCAATTGGCTCAATAATTTGTGCATTCAAGAACCTTATCACCGACGAAACCTCGCAGACGGTGGGAGAAGGAATAAGAGCTTTCATTTCGGACCACTGCTACCATGCTACTGGCACGAGGCGGGACCTGTCCGGCTGGCATATGATTGATACGTCTTAGATCTGTTACGCTTGCGCAATTGACACGGCTAATTACGTTTACTTAACAGGCAAAAACATCGTAAACTTACTTTCTGGATGCGCCTCGTTTTATACAGCAGTGGTCCCTATCCCCCGGTCCGTGAATCAAATAGGTATTGGGCATTAAGAAGTGTTAAATTATTTCTATTTTATCTTCTAGGGCGTATTTTTCTCGTTTTTATGTGACTTTCTACTTTATATTTCATGTAAAATCGCTTTATATTGATTTTTGTGTGTAACTGAATTTATTCTAAAATATTGTTAAATACAATTCAATTACAATTATTAAATCACAAAACAATTTAAAACGTAAACAATCAACCTCCCACCCTCATCTGGTCTTGATAAAATTTTCAAACGTTGATAAAATTGGGTTATTTTACGTACTTCATGAAACTCATTTGGCTATTGGACACGGAGGAACGTTCAACCAAATACAAGAACATTACGCGCTATGATATTGAATTGTACAACCACCTTTGGGAACATTGTCAGAAAAAACTGAAAATTGTTTGAAAAAGGCATTCTTGTGAAACCCTTGATGTTTTTCCTAATGCCAATATATTGGGACTTGTAATGAGGGGAAAATAGGATGGTTTTAATGCCTTAGAACTTCAGAAGGAATTTTAAAACAAGTATATGGAAAATCACAACTAACTTTGTTTTCTAAGAACTTGCTTAGAATTAAAGATATTCCTGACCACTAAATTCCTCTCCTGTCATTTTCAATTGGGCCAAGGATTCGTTAAATGTATGTGTAAGACAAAGTACCAAACTAAGAATTATTTTTGCGTGAAAAATGTAATAAAGTGTAATTCAAAATGTCATTCAAGCCTACCATGTTGCAACTAGTAGGTTAACTTTAATTTCTTATTTTTTTACATGTGTGAAAATTTTGTTTTCTTTAATAAAAAAAGACAAATTTTGTTTGGTAGAACTTTTATTTTCTTTTATGTATCTTGAATATAACTTTTTTTAAAATT